AATAACAAAATCGTCTTTTTGAAAATTACGTATATTTCTTAAATTCTCCAGCACTTGGGTTATTCATTGCAAAGGGTGGCATGCTTGCACTACACAAATTATTGTTATTTGGTTATTTGAGTACCCTCAAAAAGATCACCAAAACCATATCTATATAAATGAGAACAAATATGTGTCTGTATAGTGTATTTTCCCAGATTTCCCAGATCTTTAAAGATACTTCACAGATTACTTAAATATTCCTGAGATTGTTAAAGGTTCTCAAGATTATTTGGACAATTAAACAGGAAAAAAAATAGATTTCAGTTGCTCAGAGGTCACCAAGAGGTCTTTCAGGAACTCCTCATAAAGCAGAAGCCTCGAGAAGGATGATGACAAAAATTGATTGTAAATGACTTGGAGGGAGGATCCATCAACGGGTAACCATCGCAGTTACATTTAGTGATTTATGAGAGATTCGTGGTGATTTCATGGGTGAATCTTTAGACAACTCTTGAAAAACACACCAGCATTTCCAAGAATGTTTGAAGGACATCTAACAATTTCGAAGATATCGAAAAATTTGTCGTCTAGAGATTCCCCAATAACGAATCTCTCATAAATGACTAAAAATGTTTTGAAACAACAAAAAAAAACCGGAGAGTCTGGGGAGTTCCTCGAGGAAGAGCCATCGAAGCTTCTTTCGCGATCTTTTGTGAATTTGAAAAACATCCGAAGGTTCTCTGAAGTCTCTAAATATGGATACCTACAGAAATTCCGTAAAAATATGAAAAGGATTTTATGATTTTTTTAATTCGATTATTTGCTTAAGACCCTAAATATGCACTAATGACTGGTGATAATAATTTTCTATGTGAACACACAGTATGTTTAGACGAAAATTAACTGAAGCGTAAAAGTCTCTTCATCACACTTTTTCTAGATGATGTAAGCCTGTCTTGTCGGCGTGAGCATATAGCGAAAATTATACGAAAAAGACTGAAATCTGGAAAACGTAGGTAGTTGGAGGAAATCCTTTCCGCTACATCGCACACTCCATAAAACTAACAGAAATAAAACGGTGGAAATAATGAATGTGCCGGATATTTTTACAAAAAACCCTTAATCCTCCCGCAAGAGACCGGGAAGCACATATTTTCAACGTGGGAAGTTTTTATCGTAGTGAACTGACCGAAGCTAATGCGAGAGTCTAGTTGCGACCCACGTTATGATACCACAAAAGGTTTTTTTTGTTGCGAATTATTGGGCTATTGGATTGTTAGGGGTGCAACTTGCGCCCTTATTTGTATACATAAAATCCTACACGTGTGAATTTTAGCGCGAGCGTTGCAGTAAATGGCATAATAATAAGTGAAGTGCTTGAGAGAGAATAATATGCTATGCATCCTTCGGGATGAAGACTGAAAAAGTAGGTCAGAACAATAAAAGGAAAAGCTGTATGACAACGTCAACCTGAATTATCGCACGAAAGAATTTAATGTGTAATGATACGTTTATAAATAGGAAAATAAGACTAATAAAAACTCTTTAAGGGTCTTTTTAAAGATTAAATGTCTATAAAGGAGACTTTCGAAAACCTTTGGAGACTCTTTAAAAGGTCAACTCGTAAAAGTTTAATGAAATATTTTTGAAGGGTCTTTAAGTTGCTAAAAATGTTTAGAAAAAGCTCTCAAAAACCTGCAAAAGGTGTTAAAGGGTGGACTTTTACAGACGGGACAGACTTCTAAGGACTATACCAGTTTTAGAAAACTCTTGCAAAATCTTCACAGCTGTAAAAGCTCTTAAAAATTTTTAGAAATCCATAAAAGCTTTATAAAACTATAAAAGCTCTTAAGTGCTCTTAAATAAAAACACTATTAAAGCGTATAAAGGATGTTAAAAACCGTTTATTCTTGAGATTCATCAGGTTCTTTGGATTCGTACGAATTTTCACACTCCATACAGTTAAAAAAAGTAATGGAATTCTTTAGCCACAGACGACGAACTTTTCCGATTCTGATTTTTCCGATGTTTTGAACCTTTCCAATAATTAAGTTCAATAAGGAATTTTTAAAATCTTTTTTCAGATTTTAAACATATGTCAAATTGACGAAATTAACATGATCATTTTTCAGTTCCTCCCAGTTGTTAGAACTCTCCATGTTGGCCAAACTTAAGCGACCTTCTAACTCGTCTTCTATCAGATCCTTCAATTTGTTCAGATCTATCAGATTTTTAAAAATCTTGCATGTTTCTTGAATTCTTCCTTTTGTTTGACTTAATTCGTTGTTAAATATTTTATTATACCTTGATTCTTCGTATGCTTAGTATTCTTTAGTTTTTCATTACCCACAATTATTCCGATTCATCTAATTTTTTTAATTCTTCAAATGCGTCTGGTCCTTTTTATATCAGTCCAGTCTTCGGATTTTTAAAATTACATTTCTTTGTAAAAAAATATAAAAGTGCTAACGTAACAATTTTATTTAGAAATCATATGTAGTATATGTGTTATAAAATTCCACAGATAGATGCCGCTTGTTATCGTCATTTGAAATTAAATCCCTTCTCAATCTCCCACCTGTTTGTGCTTTTCCTTGTCCCAATAATTGTCAAGATTTCCAGAGAGAATTCTTCTAGCTCTTAAACCAACCATAAACCAGAACTTAATTTAATTGCTTCATCTTTTACCGACGAGAAACCAGAACCAGATTACAGACCCCGATTAGAAAACCAGAAGTCCTTTTAATTTATTTTCCGTTTTTTTCATTTTACCGAGAGCTTTCCCAGACCTATGAATTTGATAATCAGTTATACTTTGTCTTCCTGATTTTTTGGCCTACGTTGCCAATTCATAAACCCCAATCCACAAATTTGAGAAACAATCCACCTGTAAAATTTCATCATAAGTGGTCCATCCGTTCTCTTGTAAATCGATGGACATACAGCCATCGAGCAAGCGAGCGGACATGCGCCCTTGTAAACCTGCTATCGCAAGCAGCAAAAATTTTCTCTGCCCTTCTTTATAAAAAAATCTTATACACCATAGGAAAGATCCGCATGAAAATGACTTAATTTAGTCATGGCTAGCTCTTTAGTGTTAATATTAAAACAAAGACCATTAAAGTAAACTCTTGAAAACTAAACCAAAGAAGCCCTTGGAGGCTTTTGAAAACCTTTGGGGACCTTTTAAGTGTTCCAAATATTAAGAACTACCTACTTAAACTTTTTTGAAGGCTCTTCAGACTGTAAAAAATGTTTACATACCCTTTAGGCTCTCAAAAATTAATTTTAAGAAGGGTAGAGGACTCCTGTCTCTTGAAAAATCCTTTTGATAGTCTTGAAAGGTGTTTGCGATCACAAAAGGCTTTTAGAGACTTTTAGAGGCCCGTAAAGGCTCCTGTGGACCGTTAAAACAAATATAAACCTTTAAGAATTTGGCGAAATGGAAGAATCCTAGCATTGCAAATGATTGCACATTTTTTGTCTTAAAAAACTAGAAGAAACTTTAAAGAATAAAAAAAGATTCAAAGAAACTGTAGAATGTGAAGGATCTGACGAATTGAAACGTTCTGAGGAAGCAGAAGAAGGTATATAAGACGATTTAAATGGGAAAAATATGAAAAATCCGAAGTGCAAGAATAAATGTATGTAGTCCGTAGAAATGTCGAGTGCTCAATTCTAAATAACCTTGTGAACGTAAAAAAATTGAAAAATATGGATAATCGGAAGAATGTGAAGAAAATGAAGAATTTAGGGACGTGAAAGGACTAGAAAGACTTTAAAATTTTAAATAATGCGGATGGACCGAACAATCCGGATATCCAAGAAGCTGCAAAATTGGAACGTTTTAGAAACATACGAGAAGAATTTAACAACTCGAAGGGTACGAAGCGCTCGAAAGAAATAGACGGAATTCGTAGAACAAGCAAACATTTCGAGAATATTTAAGACGTGGAAGAAACGATGAAAGACAAAAAAAGGAAGTAGAATTTGATAGATCTGAGAAAGTGGATAGATATGGAGCACCATGTAGACCTGAAAAATTGGAAGAATTTGAAGAATGCAAGGATATCGTGAAATATCCACGAAACCCTTCTCTTTGGGACCCTTTTCAAGTGATCCTCTAGCATTTAATTACGGTAATTCAAATCAAATGAAAGAAAACCCTCGATCTTTTCCGGTTATATCTTAAATTAAACGTTGATAAAGGCAATTTACTCACATAAAGGCTTTTTAAAACCTAAAAAAAGGTCTTACACGTTTTTGGAAGCGTTTAGAAACTGTCGACGACCTTAATTTTTTTTAATGACCTTTAAATGCCCTCGTAAAAGCGAATATTTTGAATCAAGTACCATTAAGCCCGCAAAGGTTATTTAAAAGGTTTTAAATTCCTATTGAAAGCTCTACTTGCCACATAAAAGCTATCCAAACCATTGAAAGCTTATTCCTTGTCCGAAACCCTCTCAACGGCCAATAAAACCTCTGAAAGGTTTTTAGGGGAAATTAAAGATATTTAAGAGGTCCCAGGGGGCTTTGAGGGATAATAAATTTTTTTAAGTTCATTTGAAGTCTCAAAGTGTCGCAAACTATTCTTGATGGCTCTTGAAAGGTTCGTTGGAGAATCTTGATACTTCTTGGTGGATCATTTTCGGTTATTGTTACTATTCATAATTTAAATATGGACAAGGGTAATTTATGTTGATTACCTAGTGTATGGTCTTGGAAAGCTTTATACAGAATGTGCATGAAAACGTTTTTTTCCTAGCAAATTTTAAAGGGCCAGTAGCACTATCCTCACAACTTCGATTTTTTAATTAATAAATCAGTAGATACTTTAATTAAGTGAATTACTCATGATACATTGAAACGTATGTAAATGAATTAATTCAGTCATGGCCCGCTAATTAGTAACACCAATTTAATTTCGAATTTAATGCATAAAAACGTTAAAAATAATAAAGATGCTTTATTGCATTCGCTTACAATGAGAGAATATTGACAGTTTATGACGTTTTCAGGTTGCGGGACTGAACGACGCCCGCTTGACCGAGCTCCTGAAGGAATGCCTGCAGAAGGTCTGCGAACTGCAGGCCGATTTACAACGGGACGAGGATCGTAATCCGGAAGCCGCAGGATACGCCGCATGTGCCATGGAGACGTTGAGCTTTTTGTCGGCCGAAGGTGTTCCGTCCACTCACCCCATCGTGCGTCAGCTGAAGGCGCGCTTTATGGACAACCGAAACTAGCATTTTAGTCGAGATAGTTTAATTCACTTCTAGTCATTTCGTAGATTTTAAGTGCTAATCTAGTCAGAAACTGTCAACATTTTATACGTTCTAGTCACAAATATACATTTTATAACTATATTGCACCGTGTCAGTCTTCTAGGTTTCTCGTATCACATTTTCTAGGGGTTCGATCGCCGCCCTCGCCGATATAAAACAAATCACTTCCTTTATATGCCATTAGGAGCAACTTTCTCCTTTTCTCCGCCGTCATCGTTTTTGCATCGGTACTTTTTACCATCGCGGAAAACTCGACGTGTGCGAGCTTTCGATTGAATAACGAAACGCGACGCCTACATCCCCCGTTTCCGTCATTCGAAATCATTTTACGTGCATTCGACAACTACAACTAAAAATTTACAACTGTACAGTTCGTCAATGTGGGCTCGGGGCGGGTGGTAATTCATAACCCCTAACTGTAGAGAGGGCGAAAAATGAACATCTGGTCTGCACCCAACACGAACGTTACAGATGGATGTAATTGATGTTAATTAACTTAAGAATTTCCTTGTCTTTTATTGGGGGGCTTTGTAAATAGAATTTATTTATGTGCTTCAAGTCATTTGTTTGACACGCCATGGTCCGAAATAATTTTGGCACGTTTCGCATGATCGCTTAATTAGAAGATGCTCGCGTCGTGTGTTCAATTTATTACCACTTCCCTTGACTGCATAAATGGGGCTATAAATATCCCGTTTTTGATTTTGCTAAACGAAACCGATTGAGGCTGATTCTATCTTTAAATTTTTGAATTTGATTAAAAAGATCAGAAGTGCAACTAGAAAAAGGCAACAATTGGTGGCTATTACCTCGTCTTCCTTCTAGTAAATTAATCCCCTGGCTGTGTTATGAACTTGTTTAGATTCATCCGTTGGGCGCAGTGCCCTTTTCAATTTTTGTACCTGATTGCGTTGTGTAGGAGGTAATTCTGAAACTTCCCCACTTTACTTCCCATTTAGGTTTCTGTGGGCCAGTTTCATTATCCCAATTGTAATTTGCAATAACGTAGGAAACCGAAACAATCAACATCGAGCTGTAAAACGTTGCTGAAATTTGAACGTCGATACGTGGATGCTTGGCGACCATCACGGTCAGTGTTTTGCTCCAAAATCTGAAAGTATTGGAAGCTTGTAAAAAACAGAACTTAAAAATTTAAAGCATGAAATCTGGAAATCTAAAAAAAAGAAACTGAAACTTGAACCGAAAAGGCAGAGGTTTGAAACCTAAATCTTGACTTGAAACCCAATAACTAAAGTCAGAAACTGAAAGCTCAATCTTCTGAAATGTAAAGCTTCTCGAAGTCTGACGTGAAAATGAAGAAGTTTGCGATGCCGATCTAGTCAATTAAATTAAAACCTCAGTTGATGTTTAACCCTGATATTGAAAACTTGGAAGTGGAAAACAGTTATCGAAAAGGTCGATGTTTGTAACTGAAAAGTTTGATCCAAAAACTGAAATGCTCACTTTTGATTTTTTTCTTATAGATTTATAAACTTTGGTTCATAGAGCATGAATTTGAAAGTTGGAAAACAAGTATTCTAAACTCCAAGGCTAAAATCCGAGGAAAAAAGACATTTCCATTTCTCCAACGACCAGAGGGCACATTTAAATGCGTGTTGATACTGTTGAACGTAATCGAGGAAACAAAAATGGTTGTTGCGCCATAAAACATTGACACCTTCAAAGGACAAAATTGGGTAATAAATAAACGACGAGGTTTATAATTTAAAGAACTCCCAAATTTTTATTTAAAAAAATGGGGGGAAAGGGTTAATTTTCATATGCAATTATAGGGTTGATACTATACCTTACAAACATAATCAAGGTGCAAAAGTTACAGCCCTCCAAAGAACATATACGAAAGGTTAAACTTCTTCTTTTTCTCCGCAGTCTATATTTCCTCTCTTCCTCTTCCCTCCACTTCTCCCCTCCACTCTCCCCACTTCTACATCTGGACCTTGCAATTATTTTAATGTTTTTCTTTACCTCTGTTAGATACTTCAGCACCCCGTGTTATCAGCTCACTGTAGCTTTCGGTTACTCTTGAATTCTTGATCCTCACTCTCAGCATCTGAACTTTTTGCCCTTTGTCTCTCCGTATACGTTTCTTTCGTTTGTTCTCACCAAAACCTGTTTGTGTTCGTCCTCGTCGCTAACCCTTCTTTCACCAATTCACTTTTCCTTCTCTCCTTTCCTCGGATCTTGCTGCCCTGCGATCCGATTGTATCTTTATATTCTCCATTAATATTGGAACGAACTTGAGATAGTTCGCGTACACTCGGCGAGCTTTAAAACCATTACCATTTAATTTAAAATAAATGTACAAATTATTGTAATTCTATCCTGGGAGTGGACGAACGTAGCGCCAGTTGGCTTAACGAACAAACCGGCGGGCTGACGGACGGACGGGTGCTCGCGCCTGGTCGAGATCGGGGGTAGCAGGGACCTAACGGGTCAGTCGCGGGCAAACTCAACAGGAGTATTTTAATTTAGTAATTCTAATTAGTTTTCATACCAAATAGAATATGTCTATACTAGGTATCGCAATAATTTCTAGGGTTAAGTGTAAGAACAGGCAGCGGTTTTTCTGCTGCACTGAACTTCGCCCTTGCTTGGAAGTCCTTTGGTTATTTTTTTTTTCTATTTCCTCAAATAAAGACAATATTATTATTATTATTATTATTATTAAACGGCAACTTCAGGAATCGGACGGGTTTAGTAAATAGCAATAAATTACAAAGCGAAAAATACCTCCCCCCCCTTCTATAATTAGTTAAACGGAAAGTAACCAAAAAAATTCTTACCTTGCAATTAACGGAGCAGTAGGAGAAAATTCGCTAATTCCAATGGATACGGTGCGGTAACTTAATGCAAAAGCAAGAATGAAACGGTACGGATGCAAAGAAATGTTAGGGCCATTAGTCATCCCTGTTTTATTATTACGAACTTTTTTTTAAATTTTTTGATGTTCTCAATTTTGGAATCCAAATGTAAACTCATCAAGTTTTAAAATGTGTACGTTAGCTTAATACAGAAAAAGCTCAAAGATCATAAATCGCTTCATATTTTTGACTTTTATTATATTGAACATTTTCGAGTTTATAACGTCAACCTGGAATTTAAAATGAGATGGGGTTTTGTATGGACAGTATGGAGAATAGGAAGAAAGTCAAAGAACCAAAAAATTTTTTGGATCTGGAAAATTAGAAAAATATCAAAAATTCAAAGAATACTCCGAATCTCAATATATCATGAAGTATGCGAAGAATTAAGAATATTTGAAAGTTTTGATAGATTTATAGAACCTGGAACAGGATCCAAATGAAAAGAATTCAAAAATGTAATGAATTAGAAATACCTGAATATTATGTGTAAACAGAAAAATGCGAAGCGTATCTGAAGAATCCAAAGAAAAGAATTGAAAGAATGCGAATATGCAATGCGAACTGATAATCTGACAAATCCAACGAATTTCAAGGAATCTTAAGGATAAAACAGGATTCCAATGCATTGGAAAGGTCCGAAGTGTTCGAATGATTTAAACTAAACACGAGAATAAAAAACCTGACGAATTTGAAGAATCTGGAAAATTACAAATATTCTTAAAAACGAAAGCTTTCGAAAGTGGCTCCGAAAAAATCTAAAGAACGTGTAATATCCATAGAAACAGAAGATTTGAAGAATCCGAAAAAGTGAATTTGAAGAACAAAACTGTTAAAGATCTTCACCAAAGAGAAGTTATTAATCCCAGAAAACGAATTTTATCTTTATTCATAAGAAATCACAGGGTGTGAATTATGATATTTATTTAGCGTTCTCAATCTTAGATAGAGACTGGTTGATCACTGGGTTGATCCGAAAAAAAGTAAGAATCCCAAGAATCGAAAGGATTTTTTCTATTGTAGTAATTATTATTATTGAGTTTATTTTCAGCAAACAGCGCGTGGTGTCAAAATTATACATTCCCACAGGGCGAATACTCATAAATAACGTTATGGAAAATACGGGGCTTTTCAATATTTGGCTCAATCGAATGCGGACAAAGTCAACTAATAAAGCATATTGCTCTGTCGTGACACAGAAAATATGAAATGCGATGACAATCGGGAAATATATTAAACTTATAGCTTTTGTGAGCTTTCTATTATTGGCACTGGTTTAGCATCGACGGGAATCGTTAATGAATGGGGAAATGTCCGAAATGATAAAACGTTATGATAGCTCTTAAGGGTTGAAGCTGTCTTCGATGACGAATAGACTACGCTACGAGCTAACTTTAAACGGATTTACGGGTGTCCGGAATACATACGATAATGGCTATTAAAGGGTTAACAGATAACAAAAATAGCAAATATGGATTTCTTTTGCTGCACATACTTGTAGTTGTCCTTTTAAATTTGCTAATTCGAACTTTGTTCAGTCCTTGTAAACAATGACAGAATGACAATGACAGACTTTAGTTTATAGAAATGTAAATACCTAACACTGGAAACTTCGGAAAACGAAGAAATGAGATCTGCAGCAAAAACAAAAAAAACGTATTTAGTCAGATATGTGGTTTTTAAAACTAATTTTGCTTGCTCTTATCCCTTGCTGACTGTACAGGGTGGCTCAAATTCGTGTTTCACCATTCGGATCTCCGTAACGATGCGAGATCCAGTGTAGATTAGATGGGAGAAAAATTGCCACTTTTGTGACTAAAAAAACGCATCTAAAATTTTTGAAAATAACTGGTACATCACCGAAAAACTGAAAATGTCGCGTTTTAATTTTCCCTATCTCTAGCGGTCGGAAATTGACGGTTCCCGTCAGCAACTTCTATGGGCACTTTTTTCGGAGAATCTGAATCTGTTGGTAAAATTTTACCATATATTTCTATATACTCGCTTTACCCCTCATATCAACCGGCCATTTTGCATGACCTATGCTATGACCTAGGTTACTATACAGGGTGTTAATTAATTGACTGCCGATAATACAGGGTGTGGACCTCGGGTGATTTTAAGGAGACAAGTTTGTATCAACAGATGTCCTAAAACTCTTAGTTTTTGAGCTACAGGGTGTTAAAATTT